ACCTTGCAAGTATGGATGACACCAACACATATTTAACACGTAGATTTAGCTATAAATTAGACAGCCAAATTCAGCGAATATTAAGACACACACACACATCCATACATAAGCTCTACAATATCGTAGCTATCAATTCACCTAATATCCGAAGATAAGTAGCTAGACTGCTAGAGAATAAAAGATACAAAGTCTAGAATCGCAACATCCACTCAACGAATACCAGCTCAATTTATGACTAAAATCGAGAAAAAACTGACCAAAGATTATTGCAAATTTGACACTAACTCCACGTTTATTGATTACATATTACCCCTAAATAGCAGATAAAACATTTAGAAGTATGTAATATTGGTGAACTGGTACATTCTTCTTATATAAATTAAGCATTCTTCCCTCTTTTGTGCACTACTACCAATTTTTACATAAAAATATCTATTTTTGCACTTAAATATTTATTTTAAGATAACCTATCCAGAATTATATGTAGTACACAGATAAAACCAGAAATAAAATAATAAAGAAGCTGTATACAAGATATCGTAAAACAATGGATTAACTAAAAGTTCTTATTAATCGTATTCTTAAATAAAACGTATAAAGACATATTCATGTTAACAAAATACATTAGGAAATATTCGCATATGAAAAAACACGTCCAACTTGGTAATGAAATCCTTTTGTATTTATAAAGCTATTTTTAGAATAGCAGGTACCTACCAAAAACAGGTATTTGGTATTATACATATCTATTACATATTGTCAATATGATCGCCAACATTCATAACGGATAGGCACATCAAGAAGAAGAAGAAGATTACATATTGTAATGCGTATGAAAAGGAGTCCGTATGAACCGTTTAAAATATATAAAATATATATATCAAGAACGCTGGCCTAAGTGCATAGTTGCCAAACTATCAGAGCTTACTTAAACCGATATACTTATAGTTCCAATATACAGTGAAAAAGATCTGAACGACCCCTATAATATATACACGTGAACTAAGCGAAATACATTTATCGATACAGGGGTACTTATGAGCTCCAAATTTTTTTTAAGAATTATGAAACTATACATCTTAACGAATCGACAGAGCCAATATTATGGAATGGACAAGTGAGCTCCGTATATCGGTGTCCACTTGACCACGGAGCTCACTTGAACCTGAATTTTAACATGGGCGGAGTTCACTTTATGAAGTAGATATATATATATATATATATATTATATATATATATAATAATATATATAATATATATATATATATATATATAGTATAATATATATACATATATATATATATATATATATATATATATATGTATAATATATATACATATATATATATATATATTATATATATATATATATATAATATATATTATATATATATATATGTATATATATATATATATATATATATATATATATATATATATATATATATAACACTGTTTTTTATGGGTTGGAGTCAATAAAAGGGGCTATTTGTTGACTATTTTTTACTCGAGCTTTCAATTGTGATTACAATTTTTATCAAGAGCTTCTAAAAAATACAAAATGTCTTACAAAGTTGAACTAGAAATAAAAAATTTTTTTGTTAACTCACCAAATAAAATTAGTTTTTTATATAAAACTACTGCTTACATAATAAATACAAAAAATATTAATAAAAAAATGTCTTATTCTAACAAATGTTTCTCTGAAAAATTTAGATGAAGTTTCTTAAGAAAAAAAAATTGAAATTATAAACAAATATAGAATAGCTACAACCAGCCTAAAACGTCATAAATACTAACTTAAAAATTTTTATTTTTGACATATTGTCAAAAATAAAATTTTGTTTAAAAATTCTTCTTTGTTTAGTAACAAAAAAGAAGAAGATTTATTCACCATTGATAGATGCCCGGAAAAATGTAACAAATACATGGAAAATTCAAAATGTGATATTTTACTGACTGCATAAATTAAATAGAAATTATATAATTATAAATTTTGCTTAAATTTTGAATTTCTGACCTTTTGTTTAAATTATTATCACTTTTGCTAATACAAACCATTTCCAAAAAAGTTCTTTTAAATTTATTACTTTCATTACATAAAATTTTAATATTATCAAAATCCATAATATGGTCTTTGTCTATTACATGCTCTGCCAAAGCACAAGATGGTTTCTTAATTCTACAATCATTCTTGTGAGAAATAATGCGATTAGAGAGATTTCTTCCAGTCTCACCAATATACTCAGCTTCACACTGAGTACAAACAATGCTGTATACTACATTTGTTTGATCTAATTTGTCTATAGGATATTTAGTTTTGGAATATAAAGATGAAATAGTTTTGATGTTCTTTGTTGCTATTTTTATATTGTCAATAACCTTTAATGTTTGTATTAATTTAGGAGTTAATGATGGTATAAAAGGTAGTGAATGATAATATATGTTTTGATTGTTGGATACAGTGTTTTGAGATTTAGCAAAAAATGGTGTTAAGTTATTTATATTTAATAAATTAGAAAAAAGCATCCTATGTAGCATATCAGGAGGATAAGAGTTTTCAATTAAAATATTTTTTAACAAATGAAGATCTTCTTGTAGGTAGTCTGGATGAGAAAGTTTTAAAACACGTTCCTTTAATCCTGTTATAAGGTTCATTTTCATTTTATTTGGATGATTAGAGTAATAGCTTATAAATCTATTACTACATATGGGTTTTCTGAACCATCTAGTTTTCAACATATTGTCTGTATTTCTTACAATTCTCATGTCAAGGAATGGTAGAGAATTATCTACCTCTTCCTCAACTGTAAATTGTATATGTTGATTATGATTGTTGAAAATGTTGACTGTTTCAAGAATTTTGTGTTTAGGAAGTGCCAAAACTAGATCATCTACATATCTTTTGATAAATGGAATGAAAAAAGTGCAATTATTGATACAATCACTAATAACATCATCCATGACATAGCTACTTAGAATGGGATAGCTACATATGCTACATATCCTATGGGATCTAGTCTTTCACCCATTCTAAGTAGCTATGTCATGGATGATGTTATTAGTGATTGTATCAATAATTGCACTTTTTTCATTCCATTTATCAAAAGATATGTAGATGATCTAGTTTTGGCACTTCCTAAACACAAAATTCTTGAAACAGTCAACATTTTCAACAATCATAATCAACATATACAATTTACAGTTGAGGAAGAGGTAGATAATTCTCTACCATTCCTTGACATGAGAATTGTAAGAAATACAGACAATATGTTGAAAACTAGATGGTTCAGAAAACCCATATGTAGTAATAGATTTATAAGCTATTACTCTAATCATCCAAATAAAATGAAAATGAACCTTATAACAGGATTAAAGGAACGTGTTTTAAAACTTTCTCATCCAGACTACCTACAAGAAGATCTTCATTTGTTAAAAAATATTTTAATTGAAAACTCTTATCCTCCTGATATGCTACATAGGATGCTTTTTTCTAATTTATTAAATATAAATAACTTAACACCATTTTTTGCTAAATCTCAAAACACTGTATCCAACAATCAAAACATATATTATCATTCACTACCTTTTATACCATCATTAACTCCTAAATTAATACAAACATTAAAGGTTATTGACAATATAAAAATAGCAACAAAGAACATCAAAACTATTTCATCTTTATATTCCAAAACTAAATATCCTATAGACAAATTAGATCAAACAAATGTAGTATACAGCATTGTTTGTACTCAGTGTGAAGCTGAGTATATTGGTGAGACTGGAAGAAATCTCTCTAATCGCATTATTTCTCACAAGAGTGATTGTAGAATTAAGAAACCATCTTGTGCTTTGGCAGAGCATGTAATAGACAAAGACCATATTATGGATTTTGATAATATTAAAATTTTATGTAATGAAAGTAATAAATTTAAAAGAACTTTTTTGGAAATGGTTTGTATTAGCAAAAGTGATAATAATTTAAACAAAAGGTCAGAAATTCAAAATTTAAGCAAAATTTATAATTATATAATTTCTATTTAATTTATGCAGTCAGTAAAATATCACATTTTGAATTTTCCATGTATTTGTTACATTTTTCCGGGCATCTATCAATGGTGAATAAATCTTCTTCTTTTTTGTTACTAAACAAAGAAGAATTTTTAAACAAAATTTTATTTTTGACAATATGTCAAAAATAAAAATTTTTAAGTTAGTATTTATGACGTTTTAGGCTGGTTGTAGCTATTCTATATTTGTTTATAATTTCAATTTTTTTTTTCTTAAGAAACTTCATCTAAATTTTTCAGAGAAACATTTGTTAGAATAAGACATTTTTTTATTAATATTTTTTGTATTTATTATGTAAGCAGTAGTTTTATATAAAAAACTAATTTTATTTGGTGAGTTAACAAAAAATTTTTTAATTCTAGTTCAACTTTGTAAGACATTTTGTATTTTTTAGAAGCTCTTGATAAAAATTGTAATCACAATTGAAAGCTCGAGTAAAAAATAGTCAACAAATAGCCCCTTTTATTGACTCCAACCCATCAAAAACAGTGTTATATTTTTTCCAAACGAGTCACAAGTACTTCTTTTTTCTTACTCTTATATATATATATAATATATATATATATATATATATATATATATATATATATATATATATATATATATATATATATATGTATGTATATTTCGTGCTGTACACTTATAAATAAATATATTTATATAAATTAAGGACCGCTCGTTTTATTTAAATACGCTTCAATATGTACACCAATTGCTGAAACCAGAAACTGATCATTATAGAAGAACGTGTTGGTATATAGGCGGAACCAAATTATTTGAATAGTTTTAAAATCCAACCATTGAAATAACTCAGAGTGCCTTAAGGTTAATAATTATTAACTGGGTTAATAATAAGAACTGTTAGTAACATAATATAGTACAAATACAGTAACAAATAGTAAAAATAATTGCTATAATTTTAAATTTACCTAAGGAAGGATGATTATCACCTAGTCCTACTATCAGAATACAATCAGCCTGTCGTATACATCTTTGCGTCCAAGCGCTTACAGTTAGATCACATTGATATAGCGAGATCCTATGTTGATCTTCTTGTTGGGCTAACCAAGATGAAAGTCTGTACTCGTTATTTGGGTCCATGATGGAATTTCCTAATGTCTTACGTACTACATCCGACGTCAGTCTTAAAGTTGATCCTGAGAAGAAATATAATAAGGTTTATATGAAGGAAATTTAATTTAATCAAATTTAATACAAAACAATTCTGTATGTGGAATAAACAAAATTAGGCAATAATTGTTTCAAAATAAATTAGTTGTATTAGATTTATTTAATATAAAATCTACGCGATGACTAATATTGTCAAATGTTCTATATCAATATGCGAAACCGTTTAGTATCAATACGGCGAATATAAAAATTGTGATAAATAAAATTTTGTAAAGCGCAAAACGATTATTAAAATATAATAGAGATATATGTTTAAATAAGAGATCATAATTGTCCGATTGTCATATTAGCAAATATACATAAATTATGCTTCTGCCGTATGGTATACTTATACGGTATTTTCAGTTTAACGTTTCAATCATAAAATATAAGTAAACTGAGTGGAACAATATACCATGCGGTCCATATGTATGGAATAAATTCATTTTAGCGTTATTAACTACTATGTGAAAAAACCCTGAAACAGGTCGATTTTTATTCTTAAATTGACAATTTACAGTATGAAAATAATATCCCCTTCAGCACCCCCTTTGAATTATAAGCACCCCCTCGAAAATTTTAAATAGCAAAGGGGGTCGTGTAGCACCTTGTAAGAAAGGGATTTTAGTCCTCTGTTCAGTAACATTAAGTTTTTTAAGTTTGGTGCAATAATAACCTAGAAAATTGATTTTGAAAATGAAAAACTTTGATAATGTCTTTACCGCAAAACTTTAGGTTGAATGAAGATAATAATGTCACATAATATTTAGAATGTATTTTTCAATGTACTTTAAAATTAAATTAAATGTTCAAAATGACCACTATCAGCAATGCTGTTTGGTCTAGTAAATTATACTTTTTAGATTTTAAATAACCCCATAAGAAGTAATCAAGAGGAGTCAAATCGGGGGTTCTAGCCGGCCATTCGGTTGTTCAACGTCTTCCGATCCACCTATTGGGAAAAACCTCGTTTAAATAATTTCTAATTATAAGTGCAAGAAGCGGTAGAGCTCCACCTTGTTGGTAGTAAAAAGGTCCATCTATCTAATTTGAATAATTAACATTATAAAAAAATCTTCGTAATGTAGGCACTAAAAAGTTAATCAAAAAATCTAGATAAACCTCATCATCAACTGCGCCCTCAAAAAACTAAGGACCAATATTTTTATTGTTAATAATACGAGCCCAATCGTTAATTTTTTAGGATATTGCGTGTGACTCTCACACACTCAGTGAGGATTTTCTCTGCTCCAATATCTACAGTTCTGTTTGTTAACCGTTCCGTTTAAATGAAACATCGCTTAATCAGAAAAAAACTATTTTGTTTATGAACTGGAAATCTGCGTTCATTATGTCCATCATTATTTCACAGAATTCTTGCCTTCTATCAGGGTCATCTTCATTTAACTCCTGAACCAACTGAACTCTGTAATGGTGGTATTTTTCTTTATGTAAAACTCTCGAAATAGATGATTTACTTACATTATTGATGGCAGCAAGTTCTCGAGTTGTCTTATGCGGATTTTCCTCAATCTCTAAAAGTACAGCTAACTTTTTATAAATGTATTATTTCTACCTGGTTTTTCAATATTTTTTACATGTCCAGTATAACGAAAGTTCTTTGCAATTGTGCTAACTGTAGACTACGAAACTTGTTGACCAGGGTATTCATTATTAACATTTCACAAACCTCCTTTTGAGCTCTTGTTTTATTACCACAACTAATCATAGTTAAAATGTCTATTCTTTTACAATCGGACAAATGAGTCATAATTACATTTAATACGTGCACAAATATTATACTCACGTCTTCTAGTAACCTTAAATACCAAAATGACAGCAGCCTACTAGATTCATATCAATTGTTTATTTGTCTTTTTGACTAATATTTTATTATCTTCAAAGTTTTTTCCCCAATGTTTAGCAGAAGAGATACGAAAACAACTGATTTTTTCTAAAGTATAGTTTAATAGACCAGGCAATATTGCTGATATAAAAGTAAGGATAACGGAAGAAATTAACAAAATAACCCCCGAGGTCATACAAAATGTTGTATGAGAATTCCAAAATCGCCTCGGTTATTGCCAAGAAGTGAATAATAGCGATCAAGTTGAACATTTAATTTAATATTGTAAAAATTAATTTTGTAAGTTATAATTGCACAAACTCAAAAAACTTTACATTGCTGAACAGAGGACTAAAATCGCTTTCTAATAAGGTGCTACACAACCACCTTTGCTATTTAAAATTTTCGAGAGGGTGCTTATAATTCAAAGGGGGTGTTGGAGGGGGATATTATTTTCATACTGTAAATTGTCAATTTAAGAATAAAAATCGACCTGTTTCAGGTTTTTTTCACATAGTACATAATCAGGCTAAAAATCAATTTATTCCATACATATGGATCACATGGTATGTACCGACAACAATAAAAGTTTTAATATAGTCCTTTCGCTCAGCTTGAGAATATTTTGACAGATTCATTTGACGGAAACATACAATAGAAGCATTCTGACCTCCCAGTGTTTCCAATATAGCTTAAATTGCAGCTCAAATAAACTTGCTGTTGAAGAGTTCTTTCATTGAAAACATTTTCTTGTTATAGGTTTTGAAGATTAGGTACTAACAATTGAAATTCCATAGTTCAATGGAAGTGATAAATTTAACAGCTTTATATAAACTGACTCCATGTGTGACAAAATGTAAAAATTGCATACGGAAGCTGCACTCTTTACCTTTAAAACACATTTAGATTTTTGTCGATAGGATACTCTGATCAAAAGATATCGAATATTTACCGTCGAGTATTTCGCGCGCGTAACTAACATTCTAAATTGCCGGTCGCGTACAAAAATTCTTTCTTCTTTGTCAACCATTTTCCATTCACTCCTGAAGAATGTAGGTATCTCCCAATTGCTTCCATCTTTCTCTATCTTGCGCCAATCTAATCCACTGTTTGCCTGCCACTGCTCTTATGTCATCTACCCATCTTTTTTGAGGTCCTCCCATGCTTCTTGTTGTCGTCCTTGGTCTCCATTCTAGAATTCGCCGTGTCCACCTGTTGTCATTATATCGGGCTACGTGACCTGCCCAGCGCCATTTCATTTTTGTAATTTCTTCCACAATATCCCTAATCTTCGTTCTACGTCTTATCTCGGTGTTTCTAATCTTGTCTCTTAGTGATATTCCAAGCATGATTTGTTCCATTGATCTTTGCGTTGTTTCTAATTTTTTTAGAAGATTTTTTGGTAAGGGCTACTGTCTCCAAGCCGTAGGTACAAACTGGTAGTATGCATGTGTTATACACCTTTTTTTAAGTCTATAGGAATGGAGGTGTTTTTTAAGATATGTGCTAGTTTGCCTAAAGCGCCCCATGCCAGCTGTGTTCTTTTAATTTCAGCATCTTGATTTGGTTTTCCTAGTTTGATGACATGACCTGGATATACATAATGTTCAACATTTTCTATGGTATGATTTTGTATTGTTATATTTGTCTGGTCTCGGATCAGTATTTTTGTTTTGCTGTAGTTCATTTTCAAGCCTACCGCCCCTGAAACTGCATTTAATTGTTGTAACATATCATTTAATTCTTGGATATTATCGGCTATTGAAACGTTGATACCCTTATTGTTCCACTCCAGTTTCTTAAAAATATCTTCTAGAGCAAGGGTAAATAGTTTGGGAGAGATGGTGTCTCCTTGTCTTACTCCCCGTTGTAGTCTTATGGGATTAGTTTTTGTGCTTTCGTCCAGCTTTATATGCATGGTGGCATTTTCATATATGTTTTTAATTATGTTAGTGTATCTTGAATCTATGCGTGCATTTTCTAGAGATTCAAGCACTGCCCATAATTCGATGGAATCGAATGCTTTATGGAAATCGATGAACGCCACATGAATTGGAACATTATACTCGGTGCATTTTTCTATCAGTGTTCTTACGTCGAGCAAGTGGTCTATGGTATTAAAATGGTTGATAGAAATCAAGCTTATGTGTTAGGCGGATGGTTATGATTTTAAATAATTGATGGATTCGACCGTTGTTCGATTCGTTGTCCGATAGTTATGATTTTAGTTGGTAATTTATACAGATATGATAGCAAGGATATTGGTCGGTAATTCTCGATGTTTGCTTTGTCTCCTTTCTTGAATAGTAAAATGACTTCGGAGTTGTACCATTGTTGAGGAATCTTTCCTTCGTTAATTACTTTATTAAATAATATATTTAATACCTGTTCCATTTTTCTGCCACCAACTTTCAACATTTCAACTGTAATCTTATCCTCTCCCGGGCATTTATTTGTTTTTAGTTGATTTAGGGCCATTCTTATTTCATAGTCGGTTATGTCCGGTATTTCTTCTGAGCCGGTGTTAATTATTGTTCTTTCAGTACGTCGTTGTTGTGGTTGTGTACTTACCGAGTATAATTTAGTGTAGAATTTTTCAATGGCCTCGGTTATTTCCTTTCTGTCTCGGACGGTGACGTTTTTCTCATTTTTTATTACTATGATTTTTGTTGTGCCGTTGAGTTAATTGCTTTGAGTACTTTCATGTTGCAGTTATCTTGTATTATATTTTTTATAAGATTGACATTATAGTTTCTATGATCGTTCCTGATTTCTTTCTTCACGTTTTTGTTTAAACTTTTGAAGCTGTCCGAAGTTCGATCTGTCCTGTTTCGTTTAGATGTTTTGGCTGTTTTCGTGTTTGAGCATATTTTCTTAACCGATGTTGTTAGAGTTACTTTTATTTTATTGGCTAGTCCGTTTATATCCATTTGTTTAGTGCTTCTATTGATTTTAGTCTTGTGCTTAACTCTTTTTGGTATTCCGTTTGTTTTTGAAACAGGACATCGGTGGTTGGATATCAAGTTTGTTTTGTTCTACTCTCGTCTGTATTTTAATGTTCGCTCTAACCAATCTATGTCACTCCCGGTATAGAGTTTGTTTAGTACTGTCACGTCGGTGCATATGTTTTTGTTATTGGAGAGTATGTAGTCTATTTCATTCTGTATTTGGAGAGTATGTAGTTTTCTTGTCTGGGCTGATCCATGTCCATTTACGTTGTTTAGATTTTTTAAAGAAAGTGTTGCGACAAAATAAATTTTCGTTGTTTAAGTAGTTGTACAACATCTCACCCCTTTCGTTCCTGTTGTCCAGCCCAAAGCGACCGATATATTGTGTCGTGCCATTCAATCACAGGATTAGTTAGTTTGTCAAATTTTTATGCAAATAGATGGTTCAAAAACATGGCTGATTGAAAAGCCGCCATAATATTGACGTAGTTTGTTTCTTGACCACCGCGTGGCTAGTAGCACCAGTTAAATGGTTGAAAAAGAGTCGTTTGATTGGTTTAATTTATTGGGAGGGGGTCAAAAATCTTCAAAAAATGTGTTACGTAATATCTGAACGCCCCCTTATACTATTGTATAAACTTATTACTTATATAATAAGTTTATATGTATGTATATTATTTATATTACGGTATACCGCAAGGTTATTACACCCGTCTCATTTTTTCGAGTCACGCTAATAGGATTTTTTGTCCGTGAAAAACATCATACCGAGCGATAAGAAATATTTAATTCAAAAGTAAAAACAATTGAGTAATAAGCAGACATAAAATTTCATTATCCGACAAAGTAATAACACGTTATCAGAAGTATTCACTTCTGTTGTCACTCATTAAGTACCACGAGCCTTTTTTTAATTTAATGAGTGACTATCGATGGCAATTGATATTAGATATATACTAACTAGTAGGTACTAGACACTAAAATCACTAGTTGGTGTATAGACATTTTTCAATATACCATAGTGGAATAAATACTGATTCTAGCCAGTATTAAGATATTTTTCCTGTATCAGAAATGCCATAAATAAAAGGACAAATATTTCGATGTTTCTTCGCTCATTAATTTTAACATTTCTAGCCTATCTCCACCTGCGCTCTTATTTGATTTAAGTTAATAATGGCATCTATAATTTCGGTTTCCAGAATCGGTCCTTAGTTGTTGTTGTCCTGCCATCTTCTTGGTTCTGCCGGTATGTCGTTAAAAGTGTTTTGATATGGTTTTCCCATTCTTTAAGTTTCAGTTTGTCTTCGAGATTCAAGAAGTTTGGCATCCGTGTTCAGCATGTTTTGTAATGTTTGTTCTCTTGTCAGTCGATGTTAACTATTTTACCCTTTCATGTAAAGTGAAAAAAACCATGCCTTTGTTGCATTTCTTCTATTTAAACGCATTTTGTTTCCAGCCATTTCTCCTTTGCCTCGGATACTTTTTTGAATATTTTATTTGGCCGTATGTATTTTCCGGCCTTCTCATATTTTTCTTTAGATTCTCTTCGTTTGTCCATTAATTGAAATTGTGATAGTAAATATTGGCTATGAGGTTGTATAGCAATTTCCATCCACTGCCAGAAAATAATTACTGAACTGACGACAGTTGGGGATGGGATGAACGAACCGAGTATACTTACCAATGGCACTTAAACAGTGATTGAGCTCGTAAGTAAAGGCAGTCAAAGGTACATCATCTGAAGCGGCAACGATAGCTACCGTCGAAAAATTAACTGAAGATGGTCTAGTATCCACGGCAGGAGAATTAGTGTCATGTATATTCAATGTCGGCTTCTTCCAAGTACCTTAAAATAATAATTTCATTATTACGATTAGCACAAAATATTATCTTTACATGGGATTAAACCACAACTGATTGTAATGAAAATTATATTTTATAGTTGTTATTTGATGTTTCGATTTCCACTCCTGAATAATAGGCTAATTATATTAATAGGCTTTTATATTAAACGGCTAATAATATGTGGATGATTTGTTTAATGAATTTGATCCTCATTTACAGTTCACTGTTGAACTTGAGGACCCCCTCACAAATAGCATTCCCTTCCTAGACATGCGTGTCATTAGAATGGAAGATAACACCTTAACCACAAGTTGGTATAGGAAACCGATGGACTCTATAGTGTATTTTTATGTATGAGAGAGTAATAAAACAATAAATTATGTATGCAAATCCCTAAACTGTTGATACGGGTGACTCAATGAAAAACAGATATTTATCAACAAGTTTACAGAAGTATATAGGAAACAATTTTAAATTGAGTATGGCCACCAGGTATAAAGGTTGGAGTAGAATAGAATACAATAGTTGTGAGGGTTACTAATCCCTAAATAAGGTTGCCAGTGTCGGAGTGATGGAGGTTAACAGGTACTAATGACTTTGCAAGAAATGTAAGATGTTTATTTTATTGGTTATATATAACCAATAAAAGTTTAATAAGTACCTAATTATTTGCAAAATAAAGTTTAATTCTTTAGATAAAATAAAACGTTTTATTTTATCTGAAATGAGTGCATTCCACGAAGTAAGGGTTTCAACAATCAAACATTTAATTCTTTAATTCCAGGAATCTACGACAGTAATTGACTAGATAATTACCTTCTAAACTTATTCCACAGAAAATGTGATAGTGGGTTTTTCCATATTGTAGGAAGGTCCAAGTGGCGTATTCAAAATTCTTAACAGTTCACTAAAAGTAGGTACTTCAGTTGCAAGGTGCAGTTTATTGTGTATACTAGTGTTATGGAAAATTTGGAAGTGCCGTGTAAACGCCGAAAAATTGGTGCTTTAACAGTTAATGAAAAAACATTAATATTTAATTGTTTTAAATCATTTAGAGACAAACGTTTATGTGAAAGTGTTGATGAGACCGTTGAGTTAGTTAGCAGTACACTTGGTGTTGGGAAATCTACGATTTACAGAGTTATTAAAGAAGAGAAATGTGGTAGTTTTCAAATGCCACGTAATGCTCCAGGGAAACCAAAATTTCAAATAGAATATCATTTTAAAGAAGGACTTCGACGGAAAGTGCATGAATTTTTCTTTAGACAAGAATTTCCAACATTGGATAAAGTTCTTGTCTCAGTTCGAGATGATAAGGATTACCCAGAAATGAGTCGAAGTACGTTATGGAAACTTTTAAAAGAAATAGGCTTCCGCTGGAAAAAGAATCCCAGAAAGTCTATTTTATTAGAAAGAAGCGATATTGTCATATGGAGAAGACATTTTCTAAGAACCATAAAGGAAATGAGAAACCAAAAAAGAAAAATATTTTATCTTGATGAAACATGGATCAACGAGGGTCATACACCAAATAAATTTTGGCAGGATGAAACTGTTACAAGTCAAAGGCACGCTTTTGTAAATAACTTATCTACTGGTTTAAACCCACCATCAGGAAAGGGACGCAGGCTGATAATAGTACACATTGGCAGTTCAGACGGTTTTGTTGAAGGTGGTTTATTAACTTTTGAATCAACTCGTACCGGTGACTACCATGAAGACATGAACCTAGTGCTGCACTTGGGATTCCTACCACCCATTACTCATCTTTACCTTACTTTCCTCAAGTTACTGACAAACTTATTAAACTGTATAAACAGAAGAACATACCTGTTAAAATTGCAGTTAAGAATGCCAAGACTGTCAGAAATTTGTTTTCAAAAACTAAAACACCCTTGTCCCTTCTATAACAAGTGAATGTCATTTATCATATACCTTGTGCTGAGTGTGACTCGTGTTACATCGGTCAGATTGGGAGATCACTGAGAGAGCGTCTTACGACGCACCGCAGTGATATCAACTTATCTAAGCATACTTGTGCCCTTGCACAGCATGCTATTAACACTAAACACAAACTAGATTTTAATGAAGTTAAGATTCTTGGTTCTGAACGCCATCTCGTTAAAAGGCAATTTTTAGAAATGTATTATATACTTAAACACCCTAACACTCTTAATAAGAGAACTGACATTAGTAACTTGAGCCAAATTTATCATGCTCTAATATTGCAGAATTAGGCTTACTATGTTATTTACTTTAAGATAATTTTCAAATATAAATAAAATAATAATTTCTTACTTTAAATTATCTTAGATTTATGCAACTTACATTTCATGACTTAGTGTCAACGTTGCTTTTGTATAATTGTATTAATTGTTTCTATTCAAATAGTTTAATAAAACTTTATTACTATAAATGATTCATAGAATCCCTATTAATTTGAGTTCCAAATGTTATGAACCTTTTTGGATTGACCTCGCTTGTTTGTTCTTTGTTTATCTCTACCGATCACTGGGGGGAAAATGGAGTTCTCAACCACCTTTTCCTTTCATTTTTTGGTTTTTATAGACAGGTTGTCGACCAAATTTGTCATATTTTTTAAGGCGCTGGTTTCTCTGAACAGACGTAAGCCGCGGCCGTAGACGTTTGGACGTTTCGGCTAACGTCCACACGTCGTCGGTAACGGTTTATTGGTTTCTCTAGAATTTGCTAGTTTGCTGGTAGATATCAATAGGTATAGACGTCGACTATTAGGTTAGATTAAAAATACAAAGAACTTTATGAATAATGAAAATTATAATGAATAAAATGTTGATGAAACTGTTACTTGAAGAAAAGGAAGATATTGAACTAATAATTAGAAATTTAAAGAAAAGAAGACAGCCTCACAATATATTTAAAAACAGAGAGAATGAAAGGATATTAGTAATGTGTTATCACATTTATAATGTGATATATGATATCACATTATAAATGTGATAATGAAAAATTCATACAATATTTTCGACTATCACAAAAACAGCTACTGTTCAATATGAATTTTCTCTGTTAATATTTTACAAACTTGTAACCTAATTTCAGCAATAATATGTGATGTAAAATTTAAAACAGTATCAGCCATGGATTCAAAAAATTTATGAATAGTAGATTTTTTTTGTACAGTTTCTGTCTGCGTTAAAAAATTTTCAAACATCTGATATTTACTTGCTGCCTCTTTTCCAAAATACTGATCAAAATAAAAGATTACTTGTGTTCGCCATCTAGAAGGGTCACTTGGCAGTCTCACGTTGTGTAATTGTTATAATTAAAAATTATGTTTAAATTAATTATTACATTATTTGTATGTATTTCATCTTGTTCTTTTTTCATTTTGCTTTCGTCCGTCATAACGTCCACCCGCTGCAATGCTTCGAAATCATATGAACAAACACACGCAGCGGGTAAACTCCAACCGTTGACGCTAGCCGTGATCGCTGGCGTGTCTGAGAAACCAAGTGCATACACTTTTAGGCATAGCATTCAAACGTTGACGGCAGCCGTTGTCCGTCGCCGCTGACATGTGTTCAGAGAAACTAGCGCCTAAATAAACCGCTCTATTGTATTAGAGTTGTTAGTAATACCATTGTTTATATAGGACTAGTTAGCCAACGCAATGTATAAATTTGTTTGATTCTAATTGAGACAGTCACTAGATGTCACCACTCTTTCTGTCTCAATAGATTTTAATATACGATTGTTTGTTTGATATACGTTATACTAGATGGTGCTATGTGAAAAAGTTAAAGACTAAACTAAACATCAATTTTTGATCCCCTGAATTAAATTCACCAGCGTTGCAATATTTCACTGACATAGTAGCAACAGGTTTAGTTACAAATAAAAATGTTACAAAAAACAGACTATTAATCACTTAAGTTATTCATTTAAAATAGAATTATTACTATCAACTAGTAAATATCGTGTCAACTAAAATAGTACACAAACATACTGTGGCTTCTAAATCTTCATACATCTAAATAAGTTTAAAGAATTTAAATATTTTATTTTATTTGGAAGTGTATTTAAAACATTTGGTCCGAGGTAAGTAAAACATTTTAATCCTATATGTTTAAACATAAAAAACATTTGTATGAGAAATGAACAAAATTAGGTATTTAGAAATAAATTTTACCGTATAATACATACATTCGATAATATTTAAAAGAAAGTGATTTTAAATTAAAATAATGTTATTTCCATAATAAATAAATGGTTTTTTACAGATGGCTGGAAAGATTTGTTGTTTACAAATGTGGTTTATCACCATAAAAAATTCACGGATTGAGAATGTTCAGATTTCCGACAAAAAATCCTTCAGCTTGTCAAACATGGATATTACACTTTGGTAAGTAAACAAACTTTTTTTATATTCTTGTATTTTACACCGTTTCCGTTACGTAAATAACTTGAAAACATGTTTTTTTTTTCATTCATCATTTTTTATTATCGCCACGGTGCACGCATCATATTCGAGATGTCTTCATTTGAATTTTACGTTTTCGTTGGTAATTATAATTATGATATAATAAACTTCGGAAAAACAAATTAGTGAATAAATATCAAGTTATAAATATAAACAAATTATTAGAATGTTAAAATATGTATTTCTTTGATTTCACGTAAAAAAATCCTGTATAAGATATTCGAGATGTACTAAAATATATAACTATATATATAAATATATATATATATATATATCTATAATATATATATAATACTATAATATATCATCCCTGCCATCATTTTAAACTCGTTTCACGTTGCAGTAATTTAGCATCACCAAGAAAATCTATTATTTTCTATATATAAGTCGTGTATGTTCGTTTAGTGCACCTCTGTTGGCTTAGCAGCGTTGTCGGTTTTTCAATATTCTGATTTTTTTATATATTTAATTTTTTACATCAATCCTACGTTTTAACATCGATCATTTAAAATCACTGTATTTGCTATCATTTTAAAGTC